TTGTTCCAAATGATGTCCAAATTGTGTAATCCAATTTTTCCAAATAGTGTCCATGCAAAAGAGGACGATGGTGTTGTCCATGTCTCAGCAGCTCACAGCCTGACTGGAATCAGGGGCTGTGCAGATAGTTCAAGTGTGCTGGTCCAGATGCATGGTTTCTCTTGAGGTTTCTCAGTTTTGGCTTAAAAAAAAACACTTTTTGTGTAAAAAAAAAAAAAAAGTCTTCTGTTCTCTAGATGTTACAGACAATGCCCGCATCCTCCACCACCTGAAGAAGATGACAAAGTCTGGGATCGCGTTTTTCATTCAGACAGAAGACATGTTTTATTGTCAATGGTAGAGACAGCACGAACAACAAATACAACAGAACGCAAGTGTATTATACAGAGCGGAGGCATGGAGACCTCTAATCAGCAGCTGCCACGGTGTGCTTGTAGCTTGGCCTTCAGATAGACAAAACAAGGGAAAAGTACTGGCACATTGATAGAATGATGAGTTTAACTTTAACAAAAGTTGCTTCAAAGTGTTATGAAATCTCACACTTGCTACATTTGTATGGGGGGTAGCTTCTGTGTAGTGAAGCTGAATTTATTGTAGAGTAGCTTGTAGCTTAGCTCACTACACAAATCAAGTAGCTTGCCCATCACTGCAATCACTGCATGAAAAGTGTGATTTTTGTCTCTTTTCGGCCCTGTTTATTACTCTGAAACTTCTGGGATTCGGCTGTTGACCCCTCCTCCCTCCTCCACAGGAGGCTTTAACATGTAAATGGCAATGCTGTGAGCTATACAAATGCTAATCAGGGTTGAGGGGGTGCACAATGCTCAACTTTGCTCAATGCTGCACACTGAATTAACTCATCTGGAATTATGTACATACCTAAAAGAAAAAGTATGAACCAACTGAAAATGTGTTATATTCTCGGTTCAAAGTAGCACCATATATATATATATATATATATATGTGTGTGTGTGTGTGTGTATGGCATTAAAACGGCTGTTTTAATGCCATAAAACAGTTCATTCAGTTCATTTCCTCTATAAATTAATTCATGTCATTGATGGCCTAATAATAGTGTAGTAGCCTACATAGGATACAATATATGCAGCATAATATGAATAAATATATATTTATATAAATATTATTACATTAATTATGAGGCAGGGTGACCAATAGTGACAGATCTGCCAGCCAATCACGAGAGATTATACTTATTTGAAAGTAGTGATTTCATCCAATGGGGAGTAAGCTACCAATGGGGAGTAATCCCACGTGGGCTGGCCACGTGTGATTTTTCAGCCAATCACATACATATCCATTACCTACACAAAACATGTGTAGATATACCAAATTCAATTTCCATGGATATGTGAGATTTCATAACACTTTGAAGCAACTTTTGTTCAAGTTAAACTCATAATTCTATCAATGTGCAGAAGCCAGTACTTTCATCGTTTAGAAACAGAGCGATTAAATGAATGGGCTCAGAACTTGTCAGATTGTCTCAACAATAAACAACAGGCTCTTCAACATTTCTGATCCACTTTTATGGATTATCTTCTCTAAAGAACTGCCTTCATCCTCATCATCTCCGTCCGTAAAGGCAGATTAGCGGTGCGTTTTCTTTCGTGGCTTCTGCCACGTCTCCTGCGTTCCCCGCGGTTGTTTAACCCTGCTGCATTCACCCATATGCCCGGTGTTATGATCCCCCTGTCCCCTTCACCACGTCTCCTGTCTGGTGTTCGCAGAATGTTTCCACTGTGGCCGCACACCGCGGTAAAGAGGTCCGGCTTTTTGGAGTCAGCGGTTCAAAGCGGGTGGCCGCTTTATGTTAAACAGTGCATTGTGGCGGCTCATCCCCACGTTTTCTCTTTACAATGTTGCTGTAATTAACAGCATAAAGAGGCTATCCGCTTTTAATGTGCGGAGCGCTTTACCGCTGACTCCGAAAAGCCGGACCTCTTTACCGCGGTGGCCACACGGAGGACGTAAACTGTGGGTGACTGTGGACTATTGTGGCGCGGACTCCTGTCACTAATAATGTCTGTATCTGCTTCACTGGAGACCTGCGTGTCTCTGAATCTGAGTGAGCCAGTACCAAATACTTCTCTGATCTCTGGAGACCTCTGGCTCTGCTCTGGCTCCGCTCAGAACTACGGCTCCTGCTTTGCGTCGCTGCGCCGCAGGTGTTTTACAAACTCATTTTACTCTAATACTTTGAATATAACCATTCCCACAAAGGCCGCTCATATTAAAGGCACACATGTCCACTAACTCCTCGTGAAAAGTATTAACAAAAATTACTGCAATAAACGTGTGTGGTTATTATTATTTTTTTCTGGGGCATTGGACCTTCTATGTTTTAGAAAAAATGTAAACGTTAACAAAATCAAAAGTGTCTCAGCCTGTACTTGAACCTAAGTCCTCTGGCACCACAGTCCATCTCCTTATCAATGAGCTATAAAGCCACAGAAAATCGTCCGGTGAAGAGAGAATAATGAGCAGTGAGAAGCCAATGTTCTCTGCTCACAAGTGCCACCTGGTGGTTGTTTGGGTCATTGCAGCATCACTGGGAAAAAAACAAATAAAAGACGCGTGAATCACACGTGAGTCTCGTGTGATTCACGCGTGAAAGGCGACAAAACGAAATGGGACCTACTGTATGCTCCCAGGGTCGCTTCGGCGGTCATGCTTCATCTCTCTACTTAATCTTCTGTTTCTATCAGATGCAGCTGGCCGAGTAGCTGCGCTGAGCTGTCAATCGGACTCCTAATCAAAGGCATCCATACCTGTATTCTTCACTCTTCTGATCGCAGGCTCCCCATCATGCTGCCCATCCTGTAGCGGCTCTGAGCGGCACCGAACTCCGGCTCATCTTCCAAGTACCTGTCTGCCCTCCTCGCAGCATCTTCCTGCTCGCCTTCTATGGCTTCTCTGCATAAGCGTTTCACTACTGCTCACTCAACCTTCATGCGGTCCGAGACACGGCTTTCCCGACCATCCTACTATCCTGATTATCTACTCTCCAACCCCAGATTCTAAGCGTAGGGGCGCCTGCAACATCAATGGCCCTCTCCGACATGTCTCTGCCCCTACAGGTCTCCGCTTCTACACGGACGTGCCCCTTCCGTGGGTTTTGGGGGGTTCTTCCAGGACCATTGGGTTGCCGGGCCGTGGCCGCTACCTTCCACCGGAGCATCTCCTCTGCCCTACACGAGACATTCCCAGTGGTCGTGGCCTGCGCGCTGTGGAATCACACGTGGCAGAGAAAGAGTATCTCTGTCATGCGTGATAATCTCGACGTAGTGGAAGCATTACACAAAGGTCGCTCTTTTTCACCCAACATAATGTTCCCTGACCATTTCAACCTCCATCTCAAACATTCAAAGATCAAAGGCGCCTGCAACATAATAATAGCTCGCTCCGACACATCTCTCTGCCCCTACAGGTCCATGATGCGTTACACTCGCCTCCGCGGCAAAAAGGAGATTTTAACGGACCTCTAATTCTCACTCCAGACAACCTTCCCATGACAGCAACCTGGTTCAGAGCTCAGCTAAGATCCCTACTGCTCCTCTGCAATTGTCTCCCCAGCTCCATACAGCCCACTCCTTCAGGATAGGCGCTGCCACGCGCGCGGCCTCGCTGGGGCTCCCCCACACCTCTCCAACAGCTGGGGCGCTGGTCCTCTTCGGCTTTCTCCGCCTACATCAGGCCAGACGCGTCCGCTATCCTGGCTGCACAAACGTCTACTGGCTTCCTCGTAAGCTCCCAGCAAAGCAATACGAAGCAAAGTAAGTGAAGCAATAAGTTCTGGTGGCGGCACGCACTTTTCTCAAACACTCTCCGCTGCCGCAGCGTCTGACGGAACGTGATGCGAGCGCTCACGTTCCCAGCGCGCAAAGATAACTCTGCTGCAGCGTCCGGTTGATCGTGATGCGAGCGCTCACGTCCCGGCGCTCAAAGATAACCGCATATAACGGTCACAGCATATAGCGATAGCGGTCACAGCATATAGTGATAGCGGTCATAGCATTAGCGATAGCGGTCACAGCATAGCAAAAAATGGTTAGCGCATAAACGGTCACAGCATAGTGATAGCGGTCACAGCATAGCGATAGCGGTCACAGCATAGCGATAGCGGTCACAGCATAGCGATAGCGGTCACAGCATAGCGATAGCGGTCACGACGTCTGTCCCCTGCAAACCAGGCTGCAAAACTCCATCAACACACAGCCTTTTGGGGATTGTGCGCGCTCTATCGCAGGAGCTTCTCCGACCGAAGGCCGCACCGGGGCCTAGGGCGCCAAACCACCTCTCATTAAAATACTCAAAAGCATTCTCGCTTTCTTGTCTCTCCAAATTGAAATGCAGCTCGCGGAAATTCAATTTAGAAGACGTCAGCCAAAAGCTACCCCCTCCAGGCCAGCTCGCATCCCCAGCCTATCGCACAGCAAACACCCCCTTCCAATCATCCGTGCCGGCCAGGCAGCCGCTTAAAAGCGGAAAAACTCCCACTTCACGGCCTCTCAAAGCCTCGCAACCACCGCCTCCCCTCCTCCTCCTCTTCACCCTGCCTCCAATCTGCCTCCAATCTGCTTCCTGCTGCCAAAATGCCGCCACCAGTGCCTAGGTCCCGGGGGATTGTGCGCGCTCTATCGCAGGAGCCTCTCCGACCGAAGGCCGCACCGGGGCCTAGGGCGCCAAACCACCTCTCATTAAAATACTCAAAAGCATTCTCGCTTTCTCGTCTCTCCAAATTGAAATATCTTTCATTCTCCCTCAATTGTCATTGAGAAGGTAAGAGTATGAGAGAGTGTTAATTTAAAATTTAAATTTACACTCTCGTAAAAAAGACATTTCAAACATAATATTGTATTAAAATAAATACAAATGCATTTGCATTATGTAACAGCACACAGGCTTCACTGGAAGGAGTGGAAGAGGATGAGGACCAGGAGGAAGAAGAACCACAGATCTGCAACCTATCCAGCAGGCCAATGAGTCCGGCAGTGGCAAGGAGCACGCCACCTGTCACTCCAGCCCCTGCACATGCGGCAACACCGGCAATTCATCAACAAGTTCAGGCTCTGATAAGTAATCAGAGCCAGCCGACCCGAGCCAACAGGACCACAACCCGCGAACGCAGGCGGCAGACTGCCAGTGCTGAGGACCAGCTTATAGACATTCTAACCAATACCCCCTTCACGGTCCAGCCGCAGCATGTGCCACAAGCAGATGAGGGAGAGGTCTATTTTGCCCTAAGCATTGTGCCTCAACTTGTGAGCTTCTCCCCACAAGGCAGGGCAATGGCACACATGCGAATACAGGTGGTCCTCAATGAGGTGTTGGAATGGGAAGCCAACAGGGGGCAACAGCAGCGCAGGGCTTATGACCCATACAGGCCAGGAGCACCTTTGCCCCACCAAACTGGGCATCCTGAGAGCTACGGGGAGGATCAGGACACCTCGTACCATTCCCTATAATATTTGTGTGTGTTTTTTTGGTTTACAAAAATTATTTATGGTGTGATTCGTGTGCAATTGTGTTATGGTTCATATTTGAGTGTTGTTATTATTTATTTTGTTAATATATTCTGTTATTTATTTCTCTGGCCCTAGTAACATATATATATATGTTCATTTTGTGTAAAAAAAAATGTTCTTCTATGTTTATTTAAAAAAACCTTCAACTGATTATTCTTGTTCTGTTTATTTTTAAATAACAGAAAAAGTTTTTAATATTGCTTGTTACCTTATAGTTACTGCCAGTCTTTGTATCGGCTCTATGGAAAGCCTGTAGTTTGTGTCTTGATGTTGAATTTCTGGTCCAACTTTGGATGGCAGCTCCTCCATCTTTTCTGCAGACATCCTGAAGTAGTCTCTGTGCCTGTCTGGATACAGCTGGAGTTCAGCGACAAGGTGGTGGTATGAACCAAACTCAGGCCTGCGCTGGTTCAAGGGATGAACCCACATGGATTGTCTTCTCCTTCGAAGTCGTCTGAGCAATAGCATTGCTGCCAAAACTCGCTGTCTGTCGATTGCTGGAGCTATAAACAATGATAATTTTAATATCGTGTAGTTGTAATTGCTAGACACTCATATATATAGCCTATATTTATATCATGTAGCTCGCGGAAATTCAATTTAGAAGACGTCAGCCAAAAGCTACCCCCTCCGGGCCGACTCGCATCCCCAGCCTATCGCACAGCAAACGCCCCCTTCCAATCATCCGTGCCGGACAGGCCAGCCGCTTAAAAGCGGAGAATCTCCCACTTCACGGCCTCTCGAAGCCTTGCAAAGAATCGTTCTGGAGGAATCACCTTCGTCTACTCACGCTACTCATGCGTGTCCCTGGTGTCCTCCGTCTTGCTGTGTTGTGGTCTGCTCCTCCTCCGCGTCCCTGCACCTGCTGTGGTTCGCGTGTCTCCACTGCTCTCCTCCTCTGCGGGCTCTTCTGCGGGCTCTTCTGCGGGCTGCTCCGCGGGGCCCCTCCGCGGGTTCCGTGCTGCTCGTTCCTCGTGGTTTGCTGCCGCGCGCAGACGGTCTGGCGGTGCCGTGCGTGTCCCTGCCTCCGTCGGCGTGCCGCGTTGTCCCGTTGCTTTTCCCAAGTCTCCTGGCATGTGTGTGTGTTGACCGCGGACGGATTAATCCCGGAGTCTGGGCTGCAGGCTTGGTTTTTTGCCCCGCGCACTGGACTGCAGGCGTCAGTTTCGCCCCGTGCTTGGTCTGCAGGCTTCGTTTTCACACGTGTTCGAGCAACTGAGGGGCAATGCATATTAAATGGCATCAATCTCTATCGTCTGGGGATACAAGAGGCGCAATGTGCATTAATTCAGATTCATGTTCTGCCACTCGCAGTAAAACCACGTCGGAAAAATCTGCAAGACTACCCCATTGTGCTCCAGACGGCACACACCAGAGCTCTTGCCACGGCGCCATATTTACAGCATTAATCTCATTACTCGCAGGTCACTATTGTTAAATGATTGTATTAAATTCGTCTATCTGCGGGAGGAAGGAGGGGCCATGCATTTAAATAGCTAGGTCACTGGTATTCAATTAGGTAACTAAACTGCAGTTGTTGCATTTGAAAGTGCAGCAGAAAGAAAAAGGGCCCAACGTGAATCTGCAATGGGCGTGAAGTGGTGTTGGAGCTAATGAACGCGTGGAACAGTGATCGTTCATGCGTTTCGGCCATAACCAAAGCAGCAAGATGGCTCCAGGGGACGTCTGTTATTCGCATGGGAATGTTTCGGATTCGGGTTGATTTATTTCCTCAGGCTGTTAAACAACCGTGGGCATGGTTCTCTGACCGCCGCTGCTGCCGGTCCCTGCTGCCGTTCCTACTGATGCCTGATCCCGCTGCTGCCTGTTCCTGCTGCCGCTCCTGCTGCTGCCCGTTCCTGCTGCTGCTCCTGCTGCTGTCTGTCCCCGTTGCCTGCTCCTGCTGCTCCTACTACTACATGAGCCGCTGCTGCTGTTCCTGCCGCTGCCGCTCCGCGGGCTCCCAGGCTGCACCCGTCTCTACGGCTCGGCTCTTTCAGACACGTATGTAACCTGGCTCACGGAGACAAGCGGCGCACACTGGCGCGACACGTCTGTTGTTTGTATGAATCGCATTGTGGTGCTGCTGCTCCTGCAATGCTGCTCTGCTGCTTCATACTGCTACCGCTACTGCTGCTGCCGCTGCTGCTTCATACTGCTACTGCTGCCGTGCTGCTGCTGCTTCATGTACTTTGACATCTCTCTTCACTTCGCATCTCTTTTACTGAAACATTAAACAGCTTCAACAATATTCTACTGCTGTGGCTTTGATACAGGATCATTGCTGTTATTATCTACGGATGCTGCAGCTGCTGCTGCTGCTACTGCTGCTGCTGCTTCTTACTGCTACTGCTGCTGCTGCTGCTGCTTCATACTGCTACTGCTGCTACTGCTGCTGCTTCATACTGCTACTGCTGCTACTACTGCTGCTGCTGCTTCATTTACTTTGCCATCTCTCTTCACTTGCATCTCTTTTTCTGAAACACTGAACAACATTCTACTGCTGCGGCTTTGATACAGGATTATTACTGTTAATTTCTAAGGATGCTGCTATCGCTGCTGCTGCTGCTGCTGCCGCGGCTTGATACAGGATTATTGCTGTTATTATCTGAGGTTACTGCCGCTGCCGCTACTGCTACTGCTACTGCTGCAACCCACTCTCTCAGAAGCTTATCCTGCTTCTAATGGACGCAGCCCGGCTGAGTATGCCGCGCTGCGCTGGACTCGCACCTATGCTCCCAGGGTCGCTTCGGCGGTCATGCTTCATCTCTCTACTTAATCTTCTGATTCTATCAGATGCAGCTGGCCGAGTAGCTGCGCCGAGCTGTCAATCGGACTCCTAATCAAAGGCATCCATACCTGTATTCTTCACTCTTCTGATCGCAGGCTCCCCATCACGCTGCCCATCCTGCAGCGGCTCTGAGCGGCACCGAACTCCGGCTCATCTTCCAAGTACATGTCTGCCCTCCTCGCAGCATCTTCCTGCTCGCCTTCTGTGGCTTCTCTGCATAAGCGTTTCACTACTGCTCACTCCACCTTCATGCGGTCCGAGACACGGCTTTCCCGACCATCCTACTATCCTGATTATCTACTCTCCAACCCAAGATTCTAAGCGTAGGGGCGCCTGCAACATCAATGGCCCTCTTCGATATGTCTCTGTCCCTACAGGTCTCCGCTTCTACACGGACGTGCCCCTTCCGTGGGTTTTGGGGGGTTCTTCCAGGACCATTGGGTTGCCGGGCCGTGGCCGCTACCTTCCACCGGAGCATCTCCTCTGCCCTACACGAGATATTCCCAGTGGTCGTGGCCTGCGCGCCGTGGAATCACACGTGGCAGAGAAAGAGGATCCCTGTCATGCGTGATAATCTCGACGTAGTGGAAGCATTACACAAAGGTCGCTCTTTTTCACCCAACATAATGTCCCCTGACCATTTCAACCTCCATCTCAAACATTCAAAGACCAAGGCGCCTGCAACATAATAATAGCTCGCTCCGACACATCTCTCTGCCCCTACAGGTCCATGATGCGTTACACTCGCCTCCGCGGCAAAAAGGAGATTTTAACGGACCTCTAATTCTCACTCCAGACAACCTTCCCATGACAGCAACCTGGTTCAGAGCTCAGCTAAGATCCCTACTGCTCCTCTGCAATTGTCTCCCCAGCTCCATACAGCCCACTCCTTCAGGATAGGCGCTGCCACGCGCGCGGCCTCGCTGGGGCTCCCCCACACCTCTCCAACAGCTGGGGCGCTGGTCCTCTTCGGCTTTCTCCGCCTACATCAGGCCAGACGCGTCCGCTATCCTGGCTGCACAAACGTCTACTGGCTTCCTCGTAAGCTCCCAGCAAAGCAATACGAAGCAGTGTTGCCAACTCCTCAGTAAGGAAAGTAGCTATTGGCTGTCCCAAAAGTCGCTAGAAGTCGCTAAATGACGTCATCGCCTAATTTGCATAATTTGCCATTTGCAAATAACTGTAACGGACGCTGTAGGAGAGAGGAATAAGGTCGTGGGAGAGACAAAAGTGAGTAAAAACACCCTAAATATGTTTAGAACTACAAATGTACAAAAATAATTTCAACATTAACAACATTTAATGATTTTAATGCTTTGTCTAGATCCACATTACACACATCAGTTTTGTCCTGTATTGTTAAATGTTATAACAGCAAATGTAATCAAAAGATTGTTATGTAGGGTGAAATTGCTAGCTCTACAACCAACCCTCCTCCTTTATCCGGGCTTGGGACCAGCAAAGTGACCCAAAAGACACACTCTGGCAGAGTTACTTAGGTTTATTTTTGTAATTTTTTTTTTTTTTTCATAGTTTGGCATAACAAATGATTTAATGTGACCCACTACTGAGAGAAAACAGAGTCACGGACAGAGCTGCGGCGGATGGAGTGGGGGGTAGTGGGGGGTGGCGGTGGTAGGAGTGGCCGGGGAGCTTTGGATGTGTGGTGGTGGTGGAGCTGAAGTTCAGTCTGCAGCAGCCTGAAAACTTCCTGTGCTTTTGAGTCTCCTCTCTCTCTCTCTGCTCCGCCCATAGACTGTAGCTGGGACTGCTGCGCAAGGCTACTGTGAGACTGGCCGCCTGTAAGTGCTTTGGGACGGGGGAGGGGCTCACGTTGAGGACAGCAGAACAATACGTGCTTCACGAGTCTCCAAAACACCAGATAAGTCGCCAAAACACCAGATAAGTCGCCAATAACACCAGAAAAAGTCGCTAGATTTGTCGCTAGTCGCTTTTTTGAAAAAAAGTCGCTATAGGGGTCTGAAAAGTCGCTAAATCTAGCGACAAAGTCGCTAAGTTGGCAACACTGATACGAAGCAAAGTAAGTGAAGCAATAAGTTCTGGTGGCGGCACGCACTTTTCTCAAACACTCTCCGCTGCCGCAGCGTCTGACGGAACGTGATGCGAGCGCTCACGTTCCCAGCGCGCA